TGGTCTTATATTGAGGGAGATGTTCTATTTATTTCATATGCCTTAGCAACATTTTTTTGTCTTTTACAGAGTTCTCTGCTTTGATATTGTGGTATAGGCTTAATTCCTGTGATGCATTCGCCTTCCCATAGAGGAGGAGAGGTGGCCCATCTGGAATTTCAAAGTCTATTACTCCAAGATGCTTAAAAATCGTTCTTCCCGGTGCGGTTCTTTCGAGGCGGTCCCTCTGGCCGTTTTGTGTTTCTTTTGCTAGTTCTTTGATTTTGTTTATTTCAGTCGCTTTGTGTAGATCGGGAATACGGGTTATCTTGGGTAAACCCGCGATAACTCTCATGCTGCCTTGTTAAGGGTTTCAACTTGATCTTGCCGGGTCTTGGTAAGACGGAGGTAGTTATACCCGTAAATGGCTTTGGAGACAAACAGTGCTCGTACCACGTAGTTTTAAATATTTTTCTTCTGCACCACCCCCCCCCCCCCCCCTTCATGCCTTGGCTGTTGTTCTCTTGATAAGGCTTCCATTGAATCTTAATCTGGTTTAGCCAGCTCCGTGTTCCCTATCCTCGTCGATGGTGAGACTGAGGATACTTACACTTGGTTGTCTTTGAATGTTGGTGGCGTCAACATACACATTAATGGTGTCTTCGATGTCATCCTTTCTAGCCCTTTTCGAGGCGAATTCCCATTCGAGGTAGTTGATGTGGAAAACATGCTATGCCTTGCCGTCATGGTGAACCGAGTCCAGTGATTCTTTCTCGCCCATTTTGCCTTGCTTTGGTGGTAACTGGGAATTTTCTTGAGCTTGGAAAGTCTCGAATTTGTTCTTGAGCGTGAAGTATTCTTGAAAAGCGACACCAATCGTGATTACTTCTTTGTACGCTCCCCTGTTGGAGCGGAGCGACTCAATAAGTTTATTATTCTTCATGTAGAACTCAATAGATACTCGATTCTGCATAAATTCTTCTATCGATTCGCGTTCTTGGGTACATGCCACTAAAAACGGCTGTTTTGTGGTGAGTGTTGCAAGATCCGTCTGACCTTGTTGAGTAGGGTGCCCAGCGGTGTGGCTTGGGGTCGGGTACGGGCTCACGTTCGTCTGTTGCATGGAAAGGGCCCTCGTGCCAGAGCGCCTCTCGCCGGCCGTTGTCATCAAAATGTTCTCCGAAAAGACCGATGGGTTGGCGTTCAAGCGCGCGGGCAGTGCGGGTTGGCTTTCGGGAGTCTTCTCCAGGGTGTCGAGTCAGGGAAGGGCCCCATGGGGCAATGAATGTCGGTAAAAGTGGCCTGTAAGGCCGAATGGTAATCAGAGCTCTGAGGAAACATGTCCTTGATGGATGATCTTCGTCGTCGTCCTTCATGATAGACAGATTGATCTCCTGTTGTAGTATATACGAAGCTAAGTCACTCAAAATATTCGAACTGTTAGCCTCAAATGTTTTGCATGCGCAATTTGTTTTTTCTTTGTTATGTGTATATACAGAGAGTTATTTACTGTACGCTGTGGAAAGGCACTGAAATAAACACTTTTAGAGCGCAGCTCTTAGGGGCCCGTTCCCGGCGTGAGCGGCGTCGGCGTCGCCGTCGCCGTTGGCGTCGCCGTCGCCGTCGGCGTCGGCGTAACCAAGGTCATCCCAAGGTCACGTGACCCCCAAGGTCACGTGACCCCTCCAGGTCACGTGACCCCTCTCAAGGTCATCTCAAGGTCACGTGACCCCACGTGCCCCCTCCAGGTCACGTGACCCCTCTCAAGGTCCTCAAGGTCACGTGACCCCACGTGGCCCCACCCAAGGTCATCTCAAGGTCACGTGACCCAAGATGACCCCACGTGACCCTTTGAAGGTCACGTGACCCCCAAGTCACGTGACCCCTCTGAGGTCACGTGACCCCCGAGGTCACGTGGTCTCCTCCCTAAGGTCCCGTGACCCCTCCCAATGTTATCTCAAGGTCACGTGACCCCAAGGTGACCCCCACGTGATCCTCCAGGTCACGTGACCCCTCTGAGGTCACGTGACCCCCGAGGTCACGTGACCCCTCCAGGTCACGTGGGGGTCACCTTGGGGGTCACGTGACCTTGAGGTGACCCACATGTGACACCCAAGGTCACGTGACCCCCAGGTCACGCCTCCCCGAGGTCACGTGACCCCCCTCCCCAAGTCACGTGACCCCCCCGAGGTCACGTGACCCCCCCTGGAGCATATTAAAGAATGAGGGGAGGAGGAGGAGAAGGAGGAGGGGTCTACCCTCCCCTCAGTACCGTTCACTCCTCCTCCTCAAGAGCTGCGCTCCAATTCGGCGTTACAGGGATTTGTAAACGGCTTTCACTTTTTTTTGTGTAAAAGCCCCTTACTCATTGTCTTGAACTTTTGGAACTATGTTGTAAATAAATTAAATTTACTACGGTCAAAATCTGAAAGATTTTTTTATTTACAGAAAAAAACCTGCTTCGCCGTGAGGCATTATTGCAGGGGGTGGGTTTCATACAAACACTTTTGTTTTAAAACACAAGTAATACACAAAAAACAAACAAAAACAAAACACTTTCTATGGATCAATAATGAAATTAAATAAAAACATACTGTCTATAAAAACACTACATAAGTGAAAATTAAAAAAAAAAACTAATTTCCCGCAAGCACATCTTTCGGCAACCTATTCCACTCTTCTATGGTTTTCGGAAAGAAAGAAAAAGCAAAGGCGTCAGTGCGGCAAGAGTACGGTCTAATCTTCTTGGAGTGATCTGCTCTTCCGGACACATAAAACGGTTCATGTAAAAACACATCTCTGTTAATTAATAGTCTATTGTTGTAGATATCATCTAAAAATTTTATCCTAATCAATTTTCTACGCACACTGAGTTTCTCCCAATGTAGGGCATGTTTCATGTTAGTGACACTCGCTCCAAGTTCGTAATAGTTTAATACAAATCTAGCACATTGATTTTGTACCTTTTCAAGTTTGTCTATTAAATAATTTTGGTGCGGATCCCAAACAACTGAAGCGTATTCCATACACGGACGGATATATGTAAAGTATAAAGTTTCGCTAATTTTCCTCGGGGCTTGCCGAAAATGTTTCCGTACAAAATTAAGCATTCGTATTGCCATTAGGGCTATCATTTCAACATGTCCCGTCCACGTTAAATTATTAGATAACATAACACCTAGGTATTTTACATTTGAGCTAGGTTTAATTATTTCATTATTTATCATGTACACGGAACTAGTGAGATTTTTTTTCTTAGTAAATTTAACATGCACGCACTTTTTAACATTTAGGTTCATTCTCCAATTTTTACACAATACAAAAATTTTATCTAGATCACTCTGTAAAGTATTAATATCGTTAAAATCATTAATTAATCTATAAATAACAAAATCCTCCGCAAATAATCGAATATATGATTGCACGCCTGAAATAATGTCGTTTATATATATCAGGAAGAGCAGAGGACCCAGCACCGAGCCCTGGGGTACACCAGACTCGACTTTTACATACTCAGATTTTTCCCCACCGAGCACGACACATTGCCCTCGTCCACTTAGGTAGTCTTTAATCCAAGCCAGTAAGTTGCTATGCAGTGACAGTAAGCTAAGTTTATAAAATGACAAATCATCATCTACAAGGTCAAATGCCTTTCGAAAATCCAAAAACAAACAGTCCACTTCGTCTCTAGCGTCAATGCCTCCAGCAAGAAAATGAAAGACATCAACAAGTACTGTGTTACAGGATGCTCCAGTACGAAATCCGTGTTGATCTCGAATAAGAAACTTTTTGACGTTTGGATGAGCAATAAGATTGCTATAAATGACATGTTCCATTAGCTTGCAGCAAATGCACATCAAAGAAGTAGGTCTATAGTTTTCCACACAGTTTTTTGCTCCTGACTTGTGTACTGGCACCACATTTGCCATTTTCCAATCAGATAGAAGCTTTTGTTCCAGTATATATTTATTAAAAAGAACAAATAAATAATTTGCAAACTCTTCAGAACAGTTTTTCAATATAACCGGAGAGATGTTATCCGGTCCGATTGCCTTGTGGACATCAAGTTCTCGCAACAGCGAGGCTATACCATAACATGTTATTTAAATGGGTGACATGTTTAATTTTTGTTGCACGTTTGGTTGACAGCACGATGCAGCAGGTTTAGAAAAAACTGATTCTAAATATTTATTTAGATGCATTGCCTTTCTTTTTTCATTCTCGATAAGTTCGTCACCTACTAAAAGAGGAGAAACAGATGTATCGTTTTTGTTATTTTATGCTTATTTTCTTGTAATCATGCCGTGCACATTGGACTGTGATTTCTACTTGTTGTGCAATAGTGTATGTGTGAATGTACTGCCAATGTATTCGTTGTATCTTTGTTTCGGTGTTTTCAGTTAATGTGTCACTTGTAGTATGCGAGTTTTGATGTGTCAGCACAAAGACCGTGCGGTTGTTATTGGACACCTCATAAAATTTATTCTCGATTCTTGATCACTACTTCATTGAGCAAAGCTTGTAAGCAAGATAATAAACACTATTCTCTTTTTGCTGGTATACTGGAATTTCTTATACAGTCGCCCACGAAGTCATTTCTTGTTTTGACTATAGTAGGCTTGGATGTTGGCTCATGAGAAGATGTCTTTATCGTCATCTTGTAAACCCTGAGATGGGAAACGATAAAAAAACGGACGAACATTTTTTATCGTTCCCCATCTCAGGGTTTACAAGATGACGATTGATTACCAGCTCGCCTGCACTCTCTCACTGCTTACATGTTGTCTTTCTTAATTATATTTTGATCCAAGAGAACGTCATATTCTCAAGCTTTCGCGCTGTATCATGACCACTAGCGTCACATCCTCATGGCGTTTCAGCTCCCTGCGATGCGTAGTTTGTTCACGTGGGCCGAACATGCGGTTATCCTCATAAACACCCGGTATATTTCAGTGCGTTAGAAAACAACGTAAGGGAGCATGTTTTTCAAAAGAAGATTTATAGCAAAATGTCTGACTCACCGTTCGCAAGCTCTCCGAATGTCAGTGCAATAAAGACGAGAACTTTAGGGGCGTTGAGCCCTACACAAAGAGTTTCTGTCGTTCTTTGATTCTGGCGAGCAACACTACCTGCAATGCTACGTTCGAAAAGGCAATGAAAGGCTTCGCAAGAATATGCCTTCATTGTGTTGTCCCGGGATTATTACCGATAGCCCTACGAGTTTATACGAACTGAATCCTTTTCCTCTTGCGAGTCCCTTTTATCTAGCAGGTGGTACTTGCTCTATCAATAACGATAGTCACGGTGTGAGCTAAAAAACACGAAAGGTCACTGGTAATTGCAAAACCCCCGACGTCGTTTCTAACGGACGTAAAGGATGGTGCATGCGTAAAAGGCCACAGGGCCTGGTCCTCTCCATTAGAACTCAAAATGAAAAGTTATTTCGTTATACTTGATTCATCTCTTTACTTAATCAAAGGTTGGATGGGGTGATCAAAAACAATTGAGTTCTCTCTTTTCTGCCGCAAAAATAAAATACGCATCGGAGAACGCTCAGACTCAGCCCACATATCAGGGAGTCGAACCGTCAGCGGAACGGAACTGTAACCAGAAGCGAACCGTTTATTTTGCCTGAACCGGAACAGAACCCGAACCGAAATGTTCGGCGCCATTTTGTAGCTGAGTCAGAACCGGAGCAAAACAAAAGAACCTTTCCGAACCGGTTCGGAAAACGGTTCAGGCGCGCATTTGCGCTATACAAATCCGTGCACTGTGCACCGGAAATTTTGAGAGGCTTAGTTAACGCAAGGGAGCAAGGCGTTTCCACTTATTTAACCCTTTTTGTAAGAATGGTTTACGAAGAGGAAGTCCAATAACTGGTGTTACTGACTGTCATAAAATCCGCCTGACCTGCTCAAAGTCATTGCGCCCACGCGCCCAGCAAAAAGACGTCGAAACGCGCCGAAGCGATGACGCACCAAGCCGCCGCGGAAACAACACTGCATCAAACTCGGCTTTGCTATGGTTGATCGAACGCCATTTCATCAAAACACCTTTTAGAGAATGGGCACGTATTATTGAAACTCGGTTAAGAGAAAGTGGAGCCTCAGTTTGGAGAAAAGCCGTTTATCAAAAAGAAAAACGGCATTTTTACTCTTGGCATATACTTAGATTTTCGAAAAGCATTCGACAGTATCAATCATGACATCCTACTACAAAAACTTCCCCGCTACGGCATTACGGGTAAAGGATTGGATTTAATAAAGAGTTTCCTAAAAAATCGCGAGCAGCTCGTACAAATCAATGACATCCATTCTGATCGTAAAACCGTTAAATATGGGGTTCCTCAGGGATCAGCATTAGGACCTCTGCTTTTTATAATCTATTTAGACGACATTGTAAACATCTCAGTTTCTCTAAAGTTAGTCATGTACACTCTAAGAAAACAGGGAGCAAAAAAGTAGCAACGGCGCGTCTTCCTCCCTTCTACTGACACGCTCCCAAGCGGACACGAGAAAAGGGGGGGAACGAAACGTTTTTCTCCTTCTCCAGGCAGACGGGCGAAAGCTTTCGCCCTCCCGACTCATCTTCTCTCGGTTTCGTTTTTCGAGCAGGTCGCGCACGTTGTTTAATAAATAGCTGTTGAGTTGAATGAGCTTCAGCGGCGGCGAAGGCCGCCTGTAATTCCGTCTTCTAGTCTAAACGTGCAGAATACTTCGGTTGCATTGACGTTTTTATCACTAATTTTATCTAACGAGCAAACGAAGCCGCTAGAAACAGCGAAGTTCCGGAGCAGTGCCAGCAGTGCCAGCAGCGCCACGTACACTAGGGGATGGCCGTCTCCCGATTGCGGGACTCGCGCGGCACGGAAGTACAGTCACTACAGTAGCGAAACCACGCGGAACTGTGTCGACGTTTTTGACGTTATGGAAACCGCAGGAACTGCGTCCAAGACAGGCAGGTTTTGCTGCCGGCTGCCTGGGTGCCTTCCGTGCTGAGTTCGGTTCTGTTTTCCAATGCCGGGTGCAACCGGCGTTCAACGTGGTTCTGTGTTTCTGCGTGTCAGCAACATAGCTGCAACATCGTGATGGCAGTGTTGTGGGTTGTGAACAGAAGACTGGAATTATCGCCGATGTGACCGTGTGTTCGCGTATCAGTGGTGTATTAAGAAGATGAGATCGTAGTCTGTTGGGCATTGATGCCGCTGGTCGGGCCGTGATCGGAGGGGGCGGGGTGTCGCAGGTTGACATTCCGCTTTACATTAAAAAGTTTAAACCCACTTGAGGGATTACGTGCAATCGATCAACGTGCGGATAGTCATGTTGGAACGCTGGTCTGAACAGTAGAAGTTCCTATCGTACAGTGGCCAATGTGACTGTCGGAATTGTCTCGTCCCCGAGAGCGATTGCGCTCTGGGGTAAGGACTGAACGGAGGCACTCACTTGATCTAATGACGTTTTAGCGAAAGCCCACGTTTCGCCGAATGACACTTTAGCGAATAGTCGGACGCCGCCAAGCGGCGTTTTCGGGTTGGCCAAATGGGTTTACATTTTTGTAATGAACCGTCGAAGGCTGTCGCCGCGAAGCGGCGTAAGCGCAGCGCGGCGGATGGGTTAACGCGCGCCCGCGTTATTCGCTAAAACGTCAATTCGCTCAAACGTCGCTCTTCGCTAAAACGTCATTCGCTCATATGATATGGACCCAAGTGGCGCGCTGGGATCAGCGCTAGAAGTTTTCGGGCTCGCCACGGCGTAGCTCCGTACACTTAACACCTGCCGCAAGTCGCGACTTTGACTGCATTCAAGTCGATCGAAAAGCGATTTCTCAGCCCGTGAAGCATCACTTCCAGCTGAGTGAATATCCGCTCTACAGAGATTAATTCAAGACGGCAATCGCACGTTTGCGCGAACAGCACAAATTGAAAAACCAATAGAAATACAGGCTACGACGTGCCGTGTGGGGAAACAAACTCTTGGCTTCGACCGCATTGGAGCGGCTTGATTTATTGGCTTTCAAATAGTTACGGCATGATCGAGCGTTTACTTTTTAATAAGAGATTCATCCCCTGAGCCATTCAAAATTCTCTCAGAAGTATGGACATTGTTGGGAAAGAATCAACGCGCTGGGAATTTTTTTTATTGCTCAGGGAGTCACTGCAAAGTTCGGTACGTTCAAAACGACCAGTACAAAAACGGAAACGCAGAGCACGGGTGTAGTGTTCGGGTTAGTGTGGTGTTCCGTTGTATTGATATTCGTGTATGCCGTGTATGTGCTCAATGTATGTTCACCTGATGCTTGTAATAAGCCTAACGTGTGTATTGTAGAGGATCCCCAAGCGCAGTAGAGGATCCCCAAGCCTGAAAAAAGCAAATTATTTTTGGCCGAGGCTACATCCACGCGCGGGGACGTAGCCAAGTCGGGAGGAGATAAGGCTCCACCCACGCAAAAGGTCACGTGACTTGTAATATAAGGAGATAATTTGCTTTTATGTACATATTATACCTTCTTATAAGTAAATATTGGATATAAAAATAAAGAGGTTATATTTCATTGTTGTTTTAAGGTTAATATGTCACGTGACCTTACAAATTTTTAGACAATTCATCAATGGTTTACTGTTTTCTAACTTCTAAGACAAATCGCTAATATGATGCATCATGAAAATAGTACCAATTGAGACGTTGCCTCGTCTTTTTCTACCTTCTGGTGTGTCCTCTTTTCTGCCCCAGTCTCAGGTTTACAATCATGTTCAATATATATCTTTATATTTATGTTGTCCAGGAGTCACACACACGTGTGGGCGGCGTGCGTGCCATTCGTGCGTGCGGGCGGTGCGGGTGCGGCCTCCGGGGTCTTCGCCCATGTACGCATCGCTGCTGAGGCGAGGCGGAGAGGCTTCGTCGTGTGTGTGGTTGGCTTGGTTCGAAGCCTTTTAATGTGAGCTTATGTGTATCGAAGGGGACAAGTACGTGCCCACCACCTCGTACGTTCTTGACTTGCGCGCACGCTTGCAATCACACAAAGATTGTGAGAAAAGCTGGATCTCGGCACTCTGACTACGCTGACACTCCATCGAAGAGAACCTGTTCCCCAGCCTAGGAAGGGCGGAAGAAAAGGCGATCTGCATCGTCGATTGCGTCCCAAGATCTGAGCGGCCAGCCGACGATACTTGTCAACGTACGCGCTGGCACAAACGCTGGTGTTGTTTGTGCCAAAATCGAGCAGAACGTCAGACACCTTGGAAAACAAAGCCTCGATCCTAATGCCACTAAACGCCCGCACTTCGACAGCCTCCCGATTATTCGATGGGAAATACTAGGACAAGTATTTCACCGTCGAACCCCCGGCAACCAAAACTTGAGGCAGATCAGAAGTGCGACCGTGCTAATACTCAAACGGCCAAACTCCTTGTCCGAGAAAACAGAAAGAAAATAAAAACGCTCCAGAGAAAGTCAAAACCGCTTGCAGAAGACCAGGCAGGCACAGTAGACAGTAGTCCGCGCACGACAGGAACGCAAGGTGCAATGGCCGCCAAGCAAATGGAAAAACAATGGGAGGCTAGACCGGAAGTTGATCGTAGTGCGCCGGAAGTGACGTATTGTGTGGATGGAGCCTTATCTCCTCCCGACGTGGCTACATCCCCGCGCGTGGATGTAGACACTCCCATTATTTTTTGTAGAACATGAATTGGGCGGTACCTAGCGCCACCTAGCCTAGCTACTTGTAATTACTCTGCTTGACCCCGCAATCTGGTGGCTAGCGATTTAACCTTCTTTCACGCTACGCGATAAACAGCAGCTTCGAGTTTGTTCTTTCGAGAGCGGCTTTTGGTTTCGCGGATAGAGTTTGCACTTCTCCGTGATGTGCGTCGCCAAAATGGAAAAGGCGCAGTGGCATGAAACGGAGAAGAGTCTCGCCGCTGCGGACGCGAAACACGAAAGAAGTATGCTTCGGGTCCTCGCCACTGCAAAAGCTGTGCACTGACGTCCAGGTTCCCCGAGGAACGACTCTTTGATGTTCTGTGCTACCAAATCTTCACGCTCCAAATCTGTGACCATGCACTCTATGACTCCGTCGTCGAACTTGCAGGCTTTGTGAGTATTACCCCCGAGAGCGAACACAAGCGTCGCTGCGGTCGCCGCGCCCTGATTGGGTGAGGTGTACCGTGACGTCAGGGGGAGGAC